GAGAGAGACAGAGCATGAATGGGGGAGGGGCAGAGAGAGAGGGAGACACAGAATCGGAAACAGGCTCCAGGTTCTGAGCCATCAGCCCAGAGCCCGACGCGGGGCTCGAACTCATGGACCGCGAGATCGTGACCTGGCTGAAGTCGGACACTTAACCGACTGCGCCACCCAGGCGCCCCGACATTGGCCATTTGTGACAACGTGCATGGACCTTGAAGGTATTATGCAAAGTAAAATAAGTCAGAGAAAGACAAATACCATATTATTTCACTTATATGTAGAATCGAAAATAAATGAATAAACAAAAAATACTCATAGACAGGGAGAATAGATTAGTGATTATCAGAGGTCAAAGGAATTATGGAGTAGGAGAAAAGAGTGAAGGGGGTCAATTGTATGGTGATGGATGGTAACTAGACTTATTGTGATGATCACCTTGTAAGGTACACAAATATCAAATTACTATGTTGTATACCTGAAAGTAATATAATGTTACATATAAATTTTATCTCAGTTAAAAAATATATTTGCTGTACATTCCAGGTACCCCACACTAGGTGGACTAGCATAAATATGGGGCTAGCCTTCAAACCTACCAAATGTTAAAAGTTATGAATCTTGCCCAAACAGCCTGCAAAAGAGGGTGTGAGTCAATTGTAGAGATTAGAGCTGACAGAGACTCTTGTAATTTCTGCTCCCCTAAATCACCTGTTTTTTATTCCCCTGGAGAGCTTATCTGTAATCAGTGCTAATGGGGGATGGGGTCACTGAGGACTTCCAGTATCTAGGTCCCCAAGGGTTGTCAAAGACAAATGGAAAGGCTATTAACATAAGAAGAGAACACTCCAGCTCTCAGATCTGTGAAAGCCTGTCCCTAAGTCATGGTAGCCCACTCCCTAAGTTCATGTAGCTAGCTAACCATGATAGCTAGTCACATGGGAGCTCATTTCTACCAGTCCGGTGTCTCTCAAGATGAAAAGTGTGTACAACAATAAGCGCTTGTTCTCTAAAATTCTCAGTTATCTGGAAGCAAGAAAATAGAAAAATTAGGGATTTTTTTCTCCTAGCAAAAGTTCCTGTCCTCAAAGCCTCACTATTCTTAGGAAGACTTTCATTAGAAAGGACTTTTGTACATTATAGCCTATAATTAGATAAGGGGGTAGAGTTGGCTTTTGTTCATAGCATTCATCTCATGAGCTTGTCTCTAAATGGAATTGTGACAAACTTCCACCATAAAACATTTCAGTGTCAGAAAAAAAAAAAATCAGACCTAAGCCAGAGGAAAGTGAATGAAGTATAGGGAGGATGATTAAAACCATGTCAAAGGGAGGGGAGACATAGTCAAAGGAAGTCAGGATATTTAGTCTAGAAAGGAACAAGAAAAGCAAATTTAGGGGTACCGTGATCACATTCTTTCAACTTCTGATCTCAAATTTCAATCTCAAAGGATTAAGAAGCAAATTTTTTTTGGGTGAGTCCAAAGGGCGGTGCTAAAACCAATGTTTATTGTGTGCTAGGGTGGAGCAACTAGAGTTGAGGAACGTACTCTGGTTTTTGCTCAAAGGAGAAAATTCACAATTTCTTGTGAATCTATTTGAAGTCAAACTAGAAAATACAATTTGTTATGAACAACATATTCAATATAAAGACAGTGCTCACTTGCTGACTGGCTTCTATTTACTCTTTCAGATCAAAACAAGCAGAAATGACATAAGAACTGGTTGATAAGTTCCCCACTAGTGGGAGTACCACTGAGGGCTAAGGTCATGTATATTAATGTAAAGACAGGAGCTTTCAAGCACTTCCAATATCACAGTAAATTTGCAAAAGGAAAGAATTCTGTTCATGTTTGGTTTCAAAGGATAACATTGGAAGGAAATTGGATACCCAAAGCAAATAAAGAAAGCACCAAGGAGCATCTGAAAACAATTGTTAAATAAAGTGGGAGTGGGGAGGCCTTCTTATCTCTTCATTAATTCATGTCTCACATTTGTCTCTACCAGGAAGACTATGAAAAGGAGCTAGATTATGAATTGTAGCCCTTATCAGTTCTAGTCTAATTCACTCATCTTTTCATTAAGTTAAATGAAAGAAGAGCAAACTTCTAACCATTCTTTCACACAGAGAATCTGGAGTAGTGAGTGAACACTCCCTTCTATGTCTGGGACCCAGGACCTTAGACTTCTGGGCAACTTTTGTCTATTCTCTTTGTCTTTTTCCCATTTAATCCTTTCTTGCTTTTTCTTTCAATCTTCTTCTAATTATCTCTCTCTCTTCTTTCTTTCCTCCCCCCTTCTTTACACTTCCTCCCCTTTATTTTGTACCACTTCCCTTAATTCTCTTATCCTCCAGATTCTTTCCAAATGGCACAGATATAGAGGAAGAAGGGATTTGGCATCCTGTGTGCTAAACCAGACTTCCCAACTCCCTTTCCCTGCAGCAAAGCCAGGGAAATTTCTGAAGCTTGGGTGAGCCCTAATTCATTGGGAAAGCAGCATCTCCCCACTGTTTCCCTTTTAGCAATCAAGGGGTGCCTTTTAAGTGAAAGTGAATAGTTAAAAGAGAGCAGGAGCACCACATTTGCATAAAATCTCCTACATTCCTCAGGCAGCTTATTTCTTGCTACCATTGGGCATCTTTAGTCAGACATTTTTTTGCTTGGATTTACAGTCATAGTTCCTAGTTAAAACAAAAAGGAAATTTGGAATTTAGATTGTCCCATACCCTCATTGCACAAGAGAGCAGCTAAAATGACAACAGTCTTGTTTAAAGCATTCAGCAAGTCAGGGGCAGAGATCCAGAACCCAAGACTCTTTGTTATAGCCCTTTCCCTTTCCACCTATAGTGACTCCACTGTCCCCTTGGTGGTCTCTTGCAATTTAACTTTACCACCAGTATCTTTCTCCTTTTTTTCCTGTAGTCTGAGTAACCAGTTTTTAGTCTGCATAACTATCTTACCGTTTTATAATTATATTAGTTTAGAAAGTTCTGTATCTAACTATGTTCTACCTAGATAGAATACTGGATTCAAATGTAATTGTGGTCTCTTCCATTAATTAGTTAAGTTTATTTTAGTACTTGAGGGTAGGACAATGATTCTGTAGCCAATAAACCTGGGAGTGTATCTGAAGGGACAAGTCTTCAGGAGGTGTGTTCTGGGTCCTGAAGTGTTGTCTCTTCTCCTTCAAGCATAGAAATGGCAATGAGTTAAGCCTGTGCTCCAAACTATTTAAAACACAGCTCTGGTTTCAAAAGCATGTTATTTGCTGATTAAGCTTGGGAGTAAGGTGTGTGTTTGGTGAATTGACTATAGTGCTGATTATTAAATGGTACTCATAGTTTCTTCTGAAAACATAATGTTTGTGGTTTTGCACAGTGACCTTGAATATACTCAGTTCATGAGTAGAGGAACAGTGTATTAAGCCAAAAGGATGGTTCTGAAAAGTAGCAAGTCAACAATATCTAAAGTATATCTGGGCCAGAACCCAGGACTGGATGAATATAGTGAATATGCTACAGATGAAGTAGGTAGATATGTTCCCTACCTGTCCATAAGAGAAAAGAATTAGTGTCATAGATTATAGTAGTCAGCCTCATTATATATTTATATATAAATATGTATATAAATATGTATATGTATATAAATATACATCAAGTCTTCTGTGGGCTTTATTGGTATTGGCTGGGCTACTGGTGTACTCTACTGGGGTTTGGTATGCTGATCTAAACTGGGATTATTTGAATTTAATATAATGATGGGGTCTTTGCTAGGCTGGCATAGGCTTCCCTGTGTTCTATTCGAGGAATTTTGGAGTGTGTGGGCTAGTCTGGGCTGCAATGGGGTAAGCAGGGCTGACTGAAGCAGGAAAAGAGAAGCCTAGTAATGAAATAACTTCACTTCTCTAGGTATCATTTTCCAACTTGGTAAATACGTGATGAGATTTATCCATCCATACTAAAAATGTTCAGTGAGTACCATGTGAATAACAGGGTCCTTTTCAATGTACTAAGAATACAGAGATAAGAAAACAGAGACACTGCCATACAGGAGCTTTTGGGTAAGGTGGGGGAGGCACACAAGTAAACAGACAATTACAGTAAAGAAAAATAAATGCAAAGACCATTTATCAGGTGATATCAGTCATTTTCAACTCAGTCATTTAACCCAACTAAAGTTCATTTCTCATTCATGCAAAGTCTGTTGTGGATCCAGGCAACTTTCCAGGGCAGTTGTCCTTCATGTGTTGGCTCATCACCAGACTGTTTCAATCTTATGGTAGCTCTAGAATAACATGTTTCCATGGTCTCACACTGGACATTAATTGTTCCAGCCAGAGAGTGACACATATAACTTCCCCCCACAACCAAAATCAGTCACGTGGCCTCTCCCTACATTAAGTGGGCAGGGGAGTGGGAAGGCAATCATTCCATGTTTATGGAAGTATTAGAGTTGGATATTAGAACATTGGTAACCTACCACAGGTATGGGTAATCCCAATGTGAAAGTCTGGCACATAATGTCAGTGATCTCTCAGGGCTCTTAAACTTTGGGGATTCTGTTGTTCTTTTTTTTTTTTTAATTAATGTTTATTTATTTTTGACAGAGAGACAGAGCATGAGTGGGAGAGGGGTGGAGAGAGAGGGACACACAGAATCTGAAACAGGTTCCAGGCTCCAAGGTATCAGCACAGAGCCCGACACGGGGCTCGAACTCACGGACTGTGAGATCATGACCTGAGCCGAAGTTGGACGCTCAACCAACTGGGCCACTCAGGCGCCCCGGGGATTCTGTTGTCATTTTTAGTGATATCTAAAGGGATAAACTTTTACCTGTACCTAACATGTTCTCTGAAGAAATATTACAGGCTTTCTTATCACTGTCAAGTATACTTTCTCAGAAGTAGCAAGTTAGCTGTCATTTGGAGTACTGTGTTGGACTCTCTCTGAGATGAGGGAACTGACATTCATGACACTCTGCTTTCCTACTTTCTCTGGCCTAGATGCAGTAACTGAAGTGAAGACTGACATCTATGTAACCAGTTTTGGCCCTGTGTCGGACACTGACATGGTAAGTATAGTTCCTGCAAAGGTAAAAGTGAAAGATGATACAAAAGATCAAAGAAAAGAAATTAGGGTTTGTAGCTATGTTCTAAGGAGTAGTCTTGTCTTATGTATTCCCTATGCTCACTATCCTGCATTTGGTCAAATTCATCTTTTCCCCTGCTCTCCCCACCTATTCACATATAAAGCATATCCCCTCATCATGAATACCCTTCCATTCTTTCCATAACACATCTATCAAAATTCAGCTTGTCTCACTAACCTCAATTAAATTTTCCTTGATGTCTCCCTTCACATTTTCTAGCACTACACACATATTAGTAGAGATAGGTCATGTGAGGAGAGCACTGCGGTGGGGACTCTCAGTCAAGCAGTCTGTAGTATCATCCAAGAAGTCTGCTCCTTGCAAACAGGCCCTATTCTCTGGGGACATGGACTGAACATGGTGATGCAAAATGTTTGGAGGAAGAGTCAAAACCACTTCTGAAAACTGATCCTTCTACAGATGTGAGCAGGGGAGAGCTTTAGAGCAGATTCAAGGAATAAGTCAGGGCATAGCAGAGCTAGTAAAGGGAGACTCATGAGCTCTCTCCAAGGACTTCTTCCATTATCCCTTGCTGCCAAAGCAAAGAATGTAGTTAGTGGAGAGTTGGGGCAGGAGACCCCATCAGGACCATCTGATCAATATCTACTAAGTGTCAGATATTTGATTGAATAATTATCATGTAAGGAAATAAATAAGCTATTATCTGCCCAGTATGCCTGGCAGTTATTAGATGCTCAATGAATTTTTGTTGAATGAGTGACTTTGTATGGCAAATAAAAATCTTAAAGTCAGAAAAAAATGTCCTAACAATATGAAATGCCCCCAAAATATAAAATGTCCAAAAATATGAAATGTCAATGTTTGCTACTTGGATTCTTTTCTATGTATCTTCCGTGGGACTACTACTTAAGCAGGAGACAATCTTCTTTAGGCCTGTTGGGTAGATACAAACAGTTGTACAAGGACATGATAGAGTTTGTCTTGATAGAATGATTGAGTAGATTTGAGTAGAGAAATAAAAATATACAGGTGTTGTTTTAGAATGATTTAGCAGTCTGTATACATTCTAGCAGTCTGTATAGGATGAACTATAAAGGGAAAAGACTGGAGGCTGAGGGTTGGTTTAGGTATATTGATTTTACCTGGCACTTCCTTCAGTTAGGCAAGGTCTACAAGTCAGTTGGAGAAGCGGGCTCATTTTCAGCAGAGGGAGTTATGAGTTGCTTGTGAGGCAAGGCCTGAACTTTATCTTTCAAGTGTGGAAAAAAGAGGATACAGAGAAATGGCAGGCTCCTTTTGTACTCCTTAAGGGCAAGTACCAAGTCTTCATGGCTTCCCTGGCACTTAATAGAGTACTTGACGCATAGGGAGAGTTCAGTAAGGGGCATGTTTGATGTATGAGGAGTGGAGGAGATGGGTCTCTCAAAGGGGCATCAGGAAAGCCTGTATGTCTAGATTGTTCCATCACAACCTATTGACTACTAATGCCCACAGCTTCAGATCCAAGCATGCATTAAAACTATTGTCAGTTGGTCATTCAACAAGTACTCCTTAGAAGGCCAACTCTGCATTAAGGAGTTCTAGGGACCCCTATATTCAGAGAACTTATAGGCCATTGGAGGTAACTAGATTCACCAGGGTATGAGCTCTCTCTTTGTATTTCTGGGAACTAGTGATGGATTAGGATTTTTACAAGAAAGTGACTGAAGCTACTCTTTGAACACATACACACTCTCACTCATGTGCCAGTATCCACAAATTCATTCAGACAAATGTACATGCACACAAGAAAATACATACAGAATAAAAATAGTCCAATCCTATCCCAGGTACTTCATGAACACATGTGTGTAAACAGATATCTAAATCCAGGGATACTACAGAAACACACATATGCAACAGCTACCCAAACCAGATACTCTCCCTGCTCCTACTGCACCCAAGCAGGTACACATGGGTATGCAGAGGCTGGAGACATTTTAAGCAATCCAGATTTTCTATCTCTTAAAGTTTAATATTCCACTTGCTTGTTTGTTTTTCTCCCTCATGATTAAACAGAAGCAACAGAACAGCTTTCTTGATAGGGAAGGCAGCAGAATTAGATCAAATACATTTCAGGTTATTTTTAGCTACACTTCCATCTTGTTACAAAGCAGAATGGATATGATCTGGCTGGGAAATACATTTATGGTGTTTTTAACAATTTCTTCTTCCTGTACTAATTGGTATACTGTGGCAATTGACCCTGGGTCAGGGATGACTTTGGATGAAGCATCACAGACTTGTCTGGCTTTAGTAACTAGCTGAAGCAATAACCCAGGCTCCCCTGAGACCACAGACTGCTTGGGTAAGTAGATGAAAGTTAGAGCTGGCTGGATTCTTGACTCACTTCCAGCCAAATGGAATTTTGGTCCAGAATACTTTCCTAAAGAAATAGAAACACATTTTTTTGTTCATAAAGAGGAAAAAATATGGTGCCACTTTGAGTATTGAAACAGCATCACCCATAACCCTTTGCAGCTATTGTTCTCCTTGCTCAAACACTGTTCCCCACAGACATAGATTCTGAGTTTTACAAAAAGCTCCATGAAAGGCCATATCTCTTTTGTTAATCTCAGTACCACCAATACCTAATCAGTGTTTGACACTTGGTAGACTCTCAACCATTTGTTAAATGCAAGAATAAATGAGATGAAACAAATTAAATTTGAGGGGGAAATTATGACTGTTTTCCTCCACTTGACTGAGCTTGTCAAGGTAGAGAACATATCAGGTACATTTCTGTATCTCTAGCATCTAGCATAGGACCTGATACAGGTCTTTTGTAAGTGTTTATTGAGATGATATGAAACATTAGTAGCAAGCCCTGCAAACAAAGAGTAAAAGTAGCTTTCTTCGGGAGACACTATCCAGTAGCAAGACTAGTGAGTCAATAATTGATGACTCTAAGCTTTGGGCTGCTAATTTTGGTGGCTTCTCCATGTATGAACTTAAGGAGCTATGACAATAGGGAATCAGGCAGAAATGAAAACAAACAGCAGTAGATGTTTCTAAGGGAAAACTCAGAGAAAGAAAACTTATTAAAGAGTACAGGATGTAAATTGAAAACTGATTACAGTGGGAATTTTACAGGCATCACAAATGAAAGGCTTTGTTAACATTTGTAACAAATAAAGGTTGATGGTTAAAAAAATACATGCTGTTTCTCAGCAGTAATACCAATCCTATACCCGTGGTCTCCCGGGAGAGAAAGAGAAAAAGGGATACAATCCCAACTTGAATTAACTAAGGCAATGTGCCCTTTCATGACTTTCTACTTTAGAAGAGTTTATACCATTTTCTCAATTGGTGTATGGGAAGATGGTGTAGTGGCAATGAGGGGAAGGCTGCAAAAGATTTAGTGAAAATACAGTTTAATTGCCACTTCTCTTTAAAATTGGGTATGTCCATTTCTTACCAGCGAGCAATGGCTCTTGGAAAGTATAAATTTTCCCTGGTCTCCCAAGATCCTTTGAATTAGAATGCAAAAAGAGTTGGATACTGGCTTAAAAATGGAATGCTATGCATATGGCCAGTGATTGGAAAACAAGTAGAAAGGTCACTATTGATATTTTCTAAGAGAGTAGATCTTAGGTGTTCTCAGCACACACACACACACACACACACACACACGTGACTATGTGAAGTGATGTGATAATTTGTGGTAATAACTTCACAATGTATACATTTATTAAACTATCACATTACACACTTTACAATCACATTGTACAACCTGAAGATGTACAATTTTTAGTTGACACTCATACCTCAATAAAGCTTGAAAAAAAAAAAAAAAGAACTATACCAGCTGAGAAAAACTCTGGAATCTCTCCTGGTCCAAATCACTTTCTGACAAAATTTCCATTATAACTCCCATCCTAAGGCTCCAGGTTTTGACATGTCATAGGTTCAGGGTCTTGAATTATGTATTTAATAAATATCTATCTGAATGTGCTGATAAAGATAGTGAGAAAATAAGGAGGACAAAGAGTAATAATGTTAGTAGAGTCAGAATGAGAACAACTAGGAAACAAAATGCCAGTTTTAAGTATTGTCAACTTCACTCTCTTCCCAGGAATACTTTCATTGTTTAGATACTTGCTAGGTAACAACTGCCAGCTGTCATTTGTCAACAGAGAAATTTCCTAGGGTATACAGTGGACAACAAGGTAATGATGCAAGTAGTAATATAGTAAAAGAACTAATCATATAGCCTGTTGAAAAAAATTAGAGGCTTGGGAAATAAGAATTCATAAAAGATATTATAATCATAATTCTTGATAACATAAGGCATATATTTTGGTCTGACAGCTGCTTTTGAAAATCATGCAAAGTTACCAGAGTATCCAAAGACCACACAGTAAAAAAAAAGGTTGTATTGATTAAAAAGAAAGTAGAGCAGGGACCTCTTTCCTGGTGGCAGTGGGCTTGAAATTACCTGTTTCCCCCATAGCACTGGAAAAAGTGGCTATGTTCACTTCAAGCCCTCACTTACTGGCGGTCTGAGGCACAGAATTAAGGGGAGACTCTGTCTGTTTTGAAAGCCTCTTGGGCTGTCCGTTTCCTCCTCTTCCATTGGATAACATATTCCCAGATGCAATATAGAAAGGAGTCCAAGTCTGTGGGGTTTTGCTTAGGAGTCCAAACCAATAATCTCCTGGGCTACTTTTATGTAAAATAAGCTAATCAGACTATCTCAAGACCTAAATGCAACTGAAAAGGGCAGGTGGATTATCATTCTTCAAAATTCAGAATGATAATAAGGCAAAGAGCAAAGGGAAGACCAGATGGCCAAAATAAGGGAGGAGTGACCTGTGAGGCAGTGACAATACCTTCACTGTAATGGTGTTGTCATCTACCTTGGGCTCAGACCCTGCTAAAGTTAAATCACCCTTGCAGGCCCTTTGTGGGAACCTGCTTTG